CGGGCAATCACACTTGCTAAACACTCGCACAAACCTGCATGTGCATATTGAGGCTCTTAGAAACACTTGTGTTCACGCGATCATTCTCTGCTGAGAGCTGGCCTGGTTTCTCGTTCACCAGCATGCACATACAAACACACACACACACACACACACACACATGCACACAAACATCCTTGTGTTGCTATCTTAATGGGGACAAGTCATTGACATAATGCATTCCCAAACCCCTTAACCTTAACCCAATCCTAAACCTACCCCTAACCCTAAAACCAAGTCTTAACCCTTAACCACCAAACAGCCCTTTATACTTGTGGGGACTGAAATGTTGGACCCCACAAGTATAGTAAAACAAGCCCACATTTTCTCTCATGCCGCTGCGGTATCTCTGTGTTGTTGTGCCACACAAACACTGAGCATACAGTATGACAACACACAGCTTGATACAACATCAAAACACACTGATGCAAGCACACACACACACACACACACACACACACACACACACACACACACACACACACACACACAATTGGCCCTACAATTTCATTAAAGGGGGAGTGAGAGAGAGAGAGAGAGAGAGAGACAAGGCTTGAAAGAGCTAACCTCCAAACACACATGCGCAGGGCAGGACTAAACCCTGAAAGATGGAAAGAGGGAAAGATGGAACCACAGGGGACGAGGAGGGAAGATGAGGGAATAGCGAATGAGCAGCCTTGAAAAGGAAAACCAGTGAAAGGGAAAAAGAGAGAAAGAGGAACTAGTGTAAAAAGTTGAAAAAGGCAAGAGAGAAAGAGATTAGGGAAAGATGCTGACTGCTACTGACACCAAGCAGGTTTCCCCTTCATTCAGCTGATTGTTGACATCTCAAAATACCATTATTTTTCTGCTCAGGAGACTGTTTACATTAGACGTTTCCACTCACACACACACACACACACACACACACACACACACACTGAGAGGGGTCCTGCTCAGTGTGAGCGCATAAAATCAGAATAATTTCACAGATAATTTAGTTGTCACAGCCAGGCAATAGTAATAACAACTTTAGAGACAGAACGAGCACAATAAGAAAGAGGGAGAGGAGCAGAGCGAATCTCCCAAGGCCAATCACTGTGTCTAAGCTAGAGTGGTGTTTGTGGAAAAAAGTCTCTTTTTAAGCTCCCTGAAAAAAAGGAGGGGGGAGGCTGTCTCATTTCCCTTTTCCTCCCAGTTCAAAATCCTTCTTCCATATCCATTGCGTCACTCAGCGTGACCCTCTGGAAATGGCATTTGTGTGTTTAGCTTGGCGCCAGGATGATAGTGCGGTCTGTCTTCGGTGGCGGTGGCGCACGCAGTGAGGTACGCTTTGGTAATTGTAATAATACACTTAGACACTGTTCGGGAACGTGCAGCCTTTCTGCCAGGCTTTCATCACCTTTCGAAATAACCGGGGACAATCTGAGGTGCGTGCGTGTCGTGTTGAAAAGGTGTGCGTCCCATGCATTATTCAGATGCTTTGAGCCGCCCACATCTGTTCGCTTCACTGTACAACACACACACTCCTCTGATAGGTAATGCTTATTATGCTGCCAAAAACACACACACACTCACACACAGAGAGCTCTGGCACCCATGTCAAGCTCCAACAATGAATTCACCTGGGATATAGTCTGTTAGAAGCGCCGTTTGTCATCCGGCAGCCACACTGTTCACACACAAATCATAATCACATGTATGGCTGCACTCAAAGTCACAGATGCATGCACATCTGCACACACACACACACACACACACACAAGCCATTATGACACATACACACAACAGAACCTATAGCATAATCTCATTGCTCTCTGATGGCACATAAAAGGGTCATTGCTGCCTCCGTTGCGACTGCGTAATAAAAGCACAAAAATGTGTGCCCTGTTGACATGTGCACAGAGAGACGTAGGGATGAGGAAAGATGAGAGTAAGCGTCCTCTGTCTTTGTATGCTCACATGTATACGTGTTGTGTGCGTCTGTTTCTGTGTGTGTAGAAGAGAGAGCGCGATGGAGTGAAAAGGAGGCAGTCTTCTCTGTAGTGTCAGCCTTTGATCAGTGTCCCTGTGTGTGTATGTGTGTGTGTGTGTGTGTGTGTGTCTTTGTGAGCCAACCCCTGGTGTCTTAGAGGCAGGATGAAACACTGCGCCTCTATCCGGGACTCACAGAACACCCACTATCCTTCTCTCCGTCTCCTTTACGCTCTCTCTCTCTTACTCCCTCCAGACACCATTCCTTACTACAGCCATTTTAAAGGCTATTCATGCAGGGCCGTGCTTTCATCTTGCATTGCAGCGTTTTAACCAGCTACTCTGTTTTTTCAGGCCTTTTATCAGATTATAGAGGAAGGGGAGGACGGGTGAAGTGGCCCGCTGTTGTACACTGACTCACAGTCAGATGGACGCAGCGTGAGGGCGCAGGGAAGACAACGGCATTGGCTTTAACAAGATAACGTGAGGATCTTGGGTGTCTGCTGGCTGTGTGTGGCCCACTTCAGTCGCTTGTGTATTTTGATGTCCCACCAGCACAGCACATATTTTTGTAAGAATGGCAAATAAAGAGCAAAACAGCAATAGATGATCTATCTTTATAAAACAGATAATCCACATTTTAATGCCTGGACTTTGAATGAACACTGCTCCTGCATTTTGTGCAAGAGAGATTAGATTCATTAATGACCTTATAAGCATAATTGGTCATGTTTAATATATAATGGTGATTACAGTAGGGCATTAGGCAGCTTATTTGCCTCTTGTTTGTACTTGGCTTAATTAATGCACCCAAGCATGCTGCTTATTTGTGTGTGTTCTTAGTGTTAAAGGAGCAGCACAAAAGCCAGTAAATGCATGACATGCTTAGTGATTTGTGTTTCGATCCTTTTGTTTTTCTAGATCATTTGAAATGATAAACACTTATTGATTTCGGTTGTACTTGTAGAATGAAGAGAGAAATGACTGGGTACTTCACTAGATACATGCCTTTGCTATAAGTGCAGCATATTATGGGCATCTTTGATCAAATGCAATTGGAAATTCAGTATAAATTGTTATGTGCAGCATTCATGTATTACATTGTTCTGCATTACAGTTTCGAAGTAACTGTGCTCTAGAATATTTTCATAGAGCGTGGAGGTTGTCTGCCATGTTGCCGCCACAAGGTGGCAACTTATCCCTGTCCACAGGAGCAGTCTGACTTTTGCTTGAAGTGTTATTTCTTTAAACTGAGGTCTAGACAGACTAATGCCTGTCCCTGCAGTTTATTTCCTCATTTATATATTATAAGATTAATGTTCATTGTATTATGCTTTGTGAAATTCCTGCTAGGCTATTGTTCTATATTTACATTCTAACTTACACATTTCAATTTCTGTATCCATTCTAGACCATGCTCACATGTAGGCAGGTAGAATTGGAGGTAGGCCAGTAAATAATTTAAGTGGGACGGAATGAAATGATTGGCTGAAATCCCACAGACGCCAGTCACACCTTCCTAAACCAGCTACCTACTTATTTACAGTGTAACTAGCACTGAACAAAGAAATAGATGTATAGTGAATTGAGAAATGGTTGTGGCTTTATTTTGGGTCTAATTGGAAATCTTAATTTGGAGCCCATAGTAGACGACATACTGTAAGTTTGAGCTACAATGGATTCTAGCATCTAGCTGCATACAAGTGTTTAACCTCTACTGTATAGGCTTAATGGATGACCTTTCCAGTACACCTGCCTTTAATAAAGCTCTAATTAGGAGTCCCATTAGGATCTGAGAGGCTGCCAGTTAATGGGTACTTAAATAGAAAAGATTTAGGTCTTTGGTGGAACAATCAAAGCTACTCAGCTGTAATTATGAGAGGCAAATGTCAGCTAACAACTAAAAGGGTGAGATATTATTACAATGCTCTGATGTATGAAAAGTTGTCTTTCAAAATAACTTTGAAGCATCAGAAATCTGATTTGCGAACAGCATTTCGTGTTGTAAACACACAACAACAATCATTACAACGAAGAAATTGCTAAAATATTAAATTAAATAAGATCAGACAAAGTATTGAACAAATAATAAATGTACTAACAGTGGTGCGTGTACAGATGTTCCGAGTAGGTGTAATGTAGTCCACGTTACATATGCAAATAATCATCTGCATTAAACAGCTCCTGATAATCCCAGTCTTCAATTTTTTTCACCGATCATCCAAGGATTCTACATTGCTGATGTCCAAATGCCAATATGATCTGATATCCGGCTCCTCAAAATGTCTACTGTGCAAAAGCCTAGGTCAAAGTTTCTACTGTAAAAGTGAAGGTTTCTGTTTTGTGATAAAGGACGTGATTATTCAAAAAAAGAAAATCAAAAAGAAAAAACATTGTACAATCTTGAATTCCAAGCACAATGTGTCATCACTTGTAATCCAGTTACGGGTGTGATTCAGATTAGGGTCACCTATATTTCTCAGAGAGCAGGGTGCTGTACTGTAAGTGGCTTTGTGTAAAAGTCCCTGCTCCATGCCATTAGACAGACTAAACGTCATTAAGAGAGGAGCTGAAAAAGCAATTTCATCTCTCACTCCCTTGTACCTTTTTATTTCTCCATGTACCGTCTGTCTCTCATTGTTGATGAATGATAGTGTTGCACACACACACACACACACACACACACACACACACACACACACACACACACACACACACTCAAATACATACAATTTACTGTATCTGCAGTGATGCAGTTCCTCTCAGGCAGAAGCTGGTTTACAGGAACATTTGCCAGACAAGTTGTAAATACTAAAGTTAGCGATACTAACGTCATCTTATCTCTCTCTCTTCTCTCTTTATTTTCCTCCCATCTCTGAATACCTTCTTCCTCTATATCCTTTTTTCCTTTGTTCTTTTCCCACCTGTCCTTTTCTCTCCCCTGTCCTCTCTTAAATACCCTCCCTCGCCTTCTTCCTACATCCGTCTTTGTTTCTTCAAATACCCAGGCTTCCTCAGTACCGGGGATCAGTCCGCTAAGGGGAACTACGGCCTGCTGGACCAGATTCAGGCCCTGCGTTGGCTCAACGAGAACATCGGCCACTTTGGCGGAGACCCAGAGAGGATCACCATCTTCGGCTCGGGAGCTGGGGCGTCCTGCGTCAACCTCCTCATCCTCTCGCACCACTCAGAGGGTAATTAAACCCTCTGTTACGTTATGTTGTTTGCTTGTTTGCTTGATAACAGCATCCATTTCTCTTTTCCATTCCGAAGCACAAGGTTCCCACTGGTCATGGGATTCCCGGGGATATCGTGATTTTTTTGCAATTGCTAAAAGCCTGCTCATCATTCCTCGCTAATCCCTGAATAACCACAATGCATATTTACACACCATCTCTGTGTATTTGTTCTATGTAAACAGACCTGCATGTCCGATTCAACCTTTGAAACTCGACAAAAAATACATATTGCTGTTCTTGTCAATCAACTTACTTGTGTTATGGTCTGTATAGTGTATAGTATATGTAATGACTCATTTTTATCAAGTGTGTAATGCAATCACAGCACTAAGTTCCTGCTATACACACGTAGTCAGGCTGCATCCAGCCCAGAAGTCGTTAAGGCCTGTGATGTTCACTTGACACCTCTATCCTCAAAGGAAAACACTGCTTGCCCTGTGAACTGAAGAATTTAAGCAGTCATGTGGCTAATGAGCGAGTCCACGTTTGATCCATGTTATGTCGTTCACGTCTGTAGAGGATAAATGACGCTGGAGCTCCAACATTACCCCACATTACCTGACTTGGCCAGCGCTCCTGGCTCTGTTAACGGTCCACTGCTTTGCAGAAAGGCTGCAGCTCCGTCTAAAACCTACATCCACCTGACCTCATGCTCCCCATTACCGACAACACACCCCGAGGGCTAAGTGTTAACATTGCAGCTCCAAAAGCGAGAGGCCTACAGACCAATCGACTTTGATCTGAATTGAGATCAGTGTGGCCGACGACCCGCAGCCAAATGGTCACGCACTCGCTGCCTTTGATCATGGTGTTCTTGAAGCTGTCCTCCTCCAATCGTAACTTCTCTGTTCTCTACGCTGCTTGAGGACTCTCCCTCAATATCTCTCTCGTCTATTCATTTTCCGTCTCACACACACAAATGGCAAAGGACAGAAACAGGGAAGAAATGGTGGGAGATTAGAGAGAGCGTGTTCACACAACCACACATCTGTTTTAGTCTCTGCTGTGTGTGTGTGTGTGTGTGTGTGTCTGAAGCACAAAACAGATGTCTGGCACATCTCTCACTTTGACTCATTCTGTCTGCGTAGGTGTGTCTTTGAGAACAAATGTGTGTCGTCAAAGCTTGAGTGAGCATATGTGCACTGCTGCACTGTGTCCATTTAACACAACCTGTATAATTACCACTTATGTCTGCTAACCCTTCATATTAATCCAAGCACACCTAACTTTTTTTTTTCCACTTATTGGCAGGTGATCCACCTAGCAGTTAGAAACCTCCCAAGACAGACTGTGGTCACACAGTGCTGAGGGCTTGTATAAAGTGCAAATAGAAAGCATTTTGACTGTTTGAAATGTTTTTCTTAAGTATGTTTACTGTACATAGGAATTAAAAACAGGGGAAAACAGCTAAAAAGAGTAAAATCTGGTATTGCAACCCATTAAGCATCTCTGGGATGAATAATACAAAGTTGAAACCACCTGTTGTTCTACACAAAATCTCATATGGAGGAAAATCGAAATCCCAATCTCTTGTCTGAGCATTACATTTATTCATTTAGCTGACGCTTTTATCCAAAGCGACTTACAATTGCTATTTATGTCAGAGGTCGCACACCTCTGGAGCAACTAGGGGTTAAGGGTCTTGCGCAGGGACACATTGGTGGATGGCTTACAGTGGGAATTGAACCCTGGTCTGCCACATCATAGACAAGCATCTTATCTACGCGCCATCACCACCCCACCATTAACTATAGAACCAGAGTCAGGATGGTTAGCCCAGCTTAACATAAAGACAGGAAGCGGATATACACAGCCAGCCTGGCGTTCTCCAAAGTACATCTCTAAAGCAGACTAATTAACACTTGGTTTCAGAGGGAATTACGTACTGTAACTATTTCTTGACTAAACAACAGATTATCCATCCACTGCGTCTCCGCTCTGGGAAGCCACTGCGCCACGCTGTTGTTCGCCAAGAAATACATATAGGACATCAACCAAATTAATTTAAACTACAAACAATCATATACATTCCTCTTTGTGTATGGATTAAACAAACAAGACATGTGCTAATTAGTGAGCTTTATAGTTAGTGGTTAGCCTGGCTAGCTGTTTTCCATTGCTTCTAGTCTTTATGCCAAGCTAAGCTAATTACCTCCCAGGTCTGTAACATACAGACATGACTGTGGTGTAAATCTTCTCAACTAACTCTTAAAAAGCAATCTAAAATGTTATTAAAAGTTATTCTACTTCTCAGATGGCTAGACTTTTTGTACACTGGCCTTTTCCACTGTCTGTCCTAGAGCCAACCATGCTTGATTGTTTATTATTTTGATGGCAACCAGAACTATTGACAGTCAATGTAGTTTAATCATTAATTTTTCAGGAGAGCCCCACTTTAGCAGCAGAGGGACCCTAATGTTTGGGAAAGCCTGTATTAACCCCATGTCTCCTGTTGCTGACAGCCAACCCCCTCCCACTGCCACCTGTCCATTCTCATGCCTCCGCTTTGTCGTCACCCCATCGTCATCATCGTCCACGTCATCAACATCAGCATCTAACGGTGTAACATCAGCCCTCTAGACACTGCCTGTCTGTCATGCCCCACACCCCCCACCCCTTCCCTCTTTCCCGCCAGGGATGCCAGGTAAGGAGTCTGTCATCCCCACCCTTAAGGGACACCAATCATGTCAACAACACAGCATCCACAAATCAAGCCCGACAGCAGAGACGTACAGGATGGAAGTGGCAGACAGGATGGAGGGAGGGGTTGTAAGTGATACTGATATGATGATGGGTGGGGGATGTGCTGTAGTGGGGAAGGCAGGATCCATGGTATCATTTTAACAATGTTTGAGGGAAAAGGAGGTGAGGTAATAAAATTGTTAAGGGAGGAGAAAGAGGACAGAAAATGCTCTAACATGCCATATCACAAAGCAGAAGGAGCCAGAAAAAGAGGAAGGCACTGAGCACAGAAGGCAAGAGGCACTTAGGGAGTGACAAAGAAACTGATTTTGAAGCCGAATGAAATAATACCTACCTCCTACCTCTGTGTGTCTGCCTCTCCCACTGCCTCTCTCATTGCGTACATGTAGGTATAGCTGTTTCCAAGCTACTTCTTGCTATAATTGATTTCCCAGGGAAAGAGGGCTCTGCAGCTCTGCTTAATAATTAACTGACCAATCTGTAGCCCAGGAGAGGGAAGAGAGAAAAAAAAGGAGCACGAGAGGAAACGAGTGAGGCAGGCGGCCCCTTAACGAGCCACTTGAGTGGTTCAAACAGCACAGGACAGGCAGAACTAAGGAGACAGAGAGACAGAGAGACAAAGAGGAAGAGAGGGAGGGAGAAACACAGCTAGAGAGAGTCTGAGAGAAGAAACTGCCAGCACAAGAAAGAGGAAAATGGCTCTTTTGACGTCTCAGATGAGCTTATTCCTAGTCTTGCTTCTTATTTTTTGAGCTACAGAACCATAGCATGCTCTATATCTGAGATGCTTTGGGTCTGTGGTCCTATCCTGTGTGAGAATGATAAGAAGAAAGAAGCTAAAATTGGTAGTTTTTTTTTAATAAATGGAAATTTTAAAGTGGAAAAAGAGAAATGATATGTGATTTACACATCAAGTAGTCTGCGTCCCTTTCTATCCCAGAACTGAACTTCAGACAGACAGCTTCACAGAGCTCCTACAAGTATGCAACAACATTGGGGGGATTGCACATGACATTTAGTGAGCTCACCAACATTTTAGCATGTTCTTAGGATGTTAAAAGGAATGTATCCCCTCTTACAGTAATATAAATACCTGTCTTTTCCATCTGTCCTTTCAGGTCTGTTCCACAGGGCCATAGCCCAGAGTGGAACGGCCATCTCCAGCTGGTCTGTCAACTACCAGCCCCTTAAGTACACCAAGATCCTGGCCCGGAAGGTGGGCTGCACCTACACAGAGACGGCCGATCTGGTTGACTGCCTGAGGCGCAAGAACTTCAGGGAGCTGGTGGACCAGGACATCCAGCCGGCTCGCTATCACATCGCCTTTGGCCCCGTGGTGGACGGAGACGTGGTGCCTGACGATCCTGAGATCCTCATGCAGCAGGTGAGGGTCTCTACAGGATTTTTATTGTGCAAGTAGAGTGACTTGAGCTGTGATGGCACACCGGGCAGAGGAAAGCATGAAGAAGCTGTGGATGTGACCTTTCCACAGATTTAGGTAGTGGTGAAGTTCACTAAAGCTAAAAGACAGTGAAAAACAACTGTGGTGTGGGTGATGCACATTGCCATGGTGGTATATTTTTGGCTTGTGATCCCATACATACAAATAGTGTACAGGGTGCAAGTCTGGGTTGTAAGCAGTTCAATCAAAGACTGATTTTCTCTTCTACACTTAAATGGTACAACTTTAAGAGGTGTGAAGGTGTAAAACTACATAGTATTTCACAACAACAAAGACAGGAAATAGAGAACAAATAAACATAATTGTATAGCATATATATATTTTTCCTTATTTCACACTTTATTCCATGTTTTTCTGAATGGAAAAAACAGAACGTATTAGCGTTAACGTCTGTTAACCTGCTCTTATGACTGAAGTCAGTATGCTTTATTTGAAAGTCATTTTGTTAAATAATAGAAATCTCTCACATAAGGGGAAAAAAAAAAACCAAACAATAGAGGTCATCACAAAATGACAAGTGCAATTTATCCAATGACTCTCTCTGTTATTAGGCAGATATCAGATTATATTATATCATATCAGATTCCTATTAGACCCCCAAAATAATTCATTATCCATAAGAAATAATTAGAGGTGAGCATCAAAAGGTTTCTGGCTTATTTAAAGGAAATCATCAAATCCCAAAGCCTTTAATTGAGCTCTTGTTGTGCATGAATTGACACTGTAGATTTTAAGAACTCTGCACTTACAGGTTGCGCAGCACTGTTTTCATAGAACTTATCTTTGAGATATTTATTATCTTATCATGGAGCAAATCTAATGTATTAGATGATAACATATGGCAGTATTAAAACCGAAAACTAGATTAATTGTCCGCAAGCTGTGCATTAATAAAAAAAAAAAAACCCTGCAGATTTACATTTCTTGGCATATGAATAAAAGAGATTTGACTTTACAGATAAATACACAAAACGAAATTGTCGTCAGCAGCCTTTCTTGGTTGTAGTGGTTTTAGATTTGTGACATACAGAGTACAGAGACTGAAAACCCTGCCCTTTAAATAGTTTCAGCACTCAACATGTTATTACTCTGTTGCACCACCAGGGGGAGTTCCTCAACTATGACATCCTAATAGGAGTGAACCAAGGAGAGGGGCTGAAGTTTGTGGATGACAGCGAGGACAACGACGGCATCTCGGCCGCAGCGTTCGACTACACCATCTCTAACTTTGTGGACAACCTCTATGGCTACCCTGAGGGTGAGGCCAGGCCAACATTACACTCCTTTCAGGCTTTAGTCTTTTATCATATGTCCTCGACCACCTCTCAGGTGACAGAACTCTGCTTACTAGAAGCACAATTAGATCTTTCTGGGGTACACACATGCACGCCTAAATTAAAGGATGATTTGATAAATATAAAGAACACATACGTTATTACCACAATACTATAAATACCTATACATATGACATCATGCGACAAATATTCCCTGGTACCTGAGCTAGAAAAAGGTGCTTAATTTCTGTGGTATTCGACATTATCATATGATTTCTACAAAAAATACATCAACAACAACTTGTCCAAAACATCATGTGGGCAAAGAATGAGAGAAGAGACAAATTGTGAGCCAAGCAACGTGCATCAACCACAAGAGGCATACTAAAGAGAGTGCCTATCATCGAGATTATCTTTCACCATGGTTGGTCTGTGCTTTGGCCTTTGAGGCTCTGTGGGCACTAATGCTGTCTCTCATCATCCCCCAGGCAGCCATCCCCCAATCACAGTGCTGTTGTTCCTAACAGATCAGCCTGCAAACCCCTCACAGTGGGCCACACTCAAAATACAGACACATTTGGATAATGCAGTCACGCTTCCTCTCAAGTGCTTGTCACTCACTCTGCTAAACATATTCTCTCTTTTGCCCTTTGTGTCGCTCAGTCTGTCCTTTCAGTTTCTCTCTCAGCCACCGGATGTCTCTCACACATACATACAAACACAGACGAAGACGTTTTATTCCTGTCGATCCAGTTCATCTTAGGAATGTGTGCTTCCTTCCGACAACCTCTGTTTCACATCTCTTGACCACTCGCATCTCAATATATTCTATCCCTGTCATTACTTTCCTCTTAACTTATCACAATTTTCTCCTTTTTCCTTTCCCATCCAGGCAAAGACATCCTGAGGGAGACCATTAAATTCATGTACACAGACTGGGCGGACAGGGACAATGGCGACATGCGAAGGAAGACCCTCTTAGCTCTGTTTACAGACCACCAGTGGGTGGCGCCCGCAGTGGCCACCGCCAAACTCCACGCCGAGTTTCAGTCCCCAGTTTACTTCTACACGTTCTACCACCACTGCCAGACCGAGACACGACCCGAGTGGGCCGACGCCGCCCATGGAGATGAGATACCGTACGTGTTTGGCGTGCCCATGATTGGTGCCACAGACCTGTTCCCGTGCAATTTCTCCAAGAATGATGTGATGTTGAGCGCTGTGGTCATGACTTACTGGACCAACTTCGCCAAGACTGGGTAGGCCTTGCTGATGATTTTATTCTCTGTGGTGTGACTGAAGGATTAACCAACTAGTGTAATGCCTCTTCAGTAGTCAGAGTTGTGTCTTTCTGAAGGTTTTGCTTCCCTTTTAATAACAGTGATGTATCTATGGTTAGTGCCCTGTCTCCAGAATGATTAAAACCTTGACTTGAAACCTATAACTGAGATGCACCTCTGTCCTCCACCAGGGACCCCAATCTGCCAGTTCCTCAGGACACCAAGTTCATTCACACAAAGCCCAACCGCTTTGAAGAGGTCATTTGGACCAAGTTCAACTCAAAGGATAAACAGTACCTCCATATTGGCTTAAAACCTCGTGTTAGAGACAACTACAGGGCCAACAAGGTGGCCTTTTGGCTGGAATTAGTGCCCCACCTCCATAGTCTACATGAGGAGCTCTTCCCCACCACTACCCGCTCGCCGCCAGGCCCTGGCCCTGGAACCCACAGACCCTGGCCCAGAACCCCAGGCCCTCGCACCACTCGTCACCCCTACCCTACCTTCCCCTCTGATCCGGAGCCTGAGGGTTCGGAGCGTCCACACCAGGACCTCTTCCCCGGAGACACCCGGGACTACTCCACTGAGCTGAGTGTGACAGTCGCCGTGGGGGCGTCGCTTCTCTTCCTCAACATCCTGGCCTTTGCCGCCCTTTACTACAAGCGTGACAAGCGGCACGAGATGCGACGCCACCGGCTGTCTCCTCAACGTGGCGGCCCCGCCAACGACCTGGCTCACAGCCAGGAGGAGGAGATCATGTCCCTGCAGATGAAGCACTCGGAGCACGATGCTCACCACGACATGGAGCCACTGCGGCCACACGACATCCTACGGCCCGCCTGCCCACCTGACTACACACTGGCGCTGCGCCGCGCCCCGGACGACGTGCCGCTGATGACACCTAACACCATCACCATGATCCCCAGTACCATCACCAGCATGCAGCCCCTTCATGCCTTCAACACCTTCCCCTCCACTGGCCACAACAACACCCTGCCCCATCCCCACTCCACCACCAGGGTATAGTAGGGACTGGCCTGACACAGCGCCACCTAAGGACCAGGAAGACTGGCTATGCTAATGATCTAGAACTGAAGCCCCTGGAAGTGGGCCTTTGTTCTGTTCTCTTATTCTCTTGTTTCTCCAAAAACAACTCCACCTCCTCCATCATGTGCAGCATGCTCCACTGGTGGCGTGTGGAGAAGCAACTGAACTGCACGGCAGCAGATGATCAGTTTGGGGCTGATGTAGATCTTTCAATGATACTGTTTTCACACAAGGTCTGCTGTTCCAGACTAAAGACCCCTGACATTTGTCGTAGGGATGAATGCTTTCCGCCCCTTGCTGTTTTCCCCTTTTTACTTTGGCGTCTTCTCTTTTTTCTCTCCCTAGTGTGCTATGTGCATATATCGTTCTCTTTTCTACATCTGTGTCTTACCCCTGCTTTGTTCCTCTCATTCGACGTGTGATTCTCTCCCTCTCCCCAGTGCTCCTTTGCTCGAAGGATTCATAAACTGCTGAGCTGTAGGAGGGGGCATAGAGTACATACAGTAATCATATAGCTATGAAAACATTGATATCTGATACTTTCATTCTACCAGCATTCTTGGTGCCAAGTATGTACTACAGTGTTTGCTTTCTCATCAAGGGAGAAAAAAACGAAAGAAAATTCTAGAGTATTCCTATTTACTGTCAATTAACAGATGCTGTGTGTTCTCATGACAAAGTGCCAAACTGGCCCTCGATTGTGTTTTTTTCTTTCTTTCATCTTCTTTTTTTTAAGCATTTGTTTAATTGTTGTTTTTTGTGGAAAGATTTTTTTTTTGCTGAAAATATAGATATAGAGAAATGATATTATATATAGTTATATATAAATGTGTACAAAGGAGAAAGTATATAAATGGGTTTTCTCAGTGGGGATCTATGCATGAATTATTTTTAAAGATGATGACGGGGGAAAGAACACTGTATCTGTCAATGCACGTTTCCCAAATCTAATCAAATCATATTGGTCTACTCTGAATATTTTGGTTTTTGTTTTACCTCACAGAACAAGAACACCACAGAGAATCCTTTAGTAACCCCCCCCCCAAAAAAAATACTCACCCTCACCTCCCAACACCTATTTACTAAAGAGTCATTGCCATAAATCTCAGAAGACAATAGGGTCAAAGCAACAACTGTGAACATACTCTTCCCTCCATTCTCTCTTCATGATGTTATGATGTTATTTAGAAGTATTTCCAGGTGATGCAGCACGCCAACAGCAAGCCCATCATCCTACAGTAGCTACTTTTTCTTTCCTGTATCTGTATGGAGATGATCATTTTTTAGGGTACTTGAGGTGCCACATCTGTTGTTGTAGCTTGCCTGTACAGAATTATTTTTGTATTTCAGTGAAGGTGAGAAACAAAGCAGAGACAGGCAGCCTTTGCTCTTTTAAGTACACCTTCCTTCTCCTGTCTGCACCCCTATTTCCAGCACATGCATATTCTGTTTGATATATGCCTAGAAGAGAGCGTGTGTGTGTGTGTGTGTGTGTGTGTGTGTGTGTGTGTGTGTGTGTGTGTGTGAGAGAGAGAGATATCAGAACTGCTTCACATGGGCATAGGTGGGCCCTAATTAGACAGCAAAGAGATAGAGAGGCAGACAGACAGGATCACCCCCATGGAAAAAGCATAGACTCCAAAAAGACTTATTTTCTGCTGTGTACCCAAACACCCCCCTCTGTATCAGCATCCCTTGCTCCTCCCCTCTCCTCTCTCCGTCAGCACACTAGTTTTGCATTCAAAACTGATACCCATGTTGCGGTGATCACCCATAACCACAAAACTCTAAAACACCTGACTTCACTGTGTCAGTGCTGTTCTACACAATTTCTGACCTCAGTTCAGCTCTGCTATTATCCTCACACTGAAGGGTTAGTTCACTAAGCTAGTGACCTTTTGTGAGCAGCTCTAAATTAAACTCTAAGCACACTGAGGGTAATCGTTGGGGCTTCACGGCCTGTGTTACACAGAGCTGCAAGATGAAAAGGGAGCTCGGATCTCCTAAACAGGGTAAAGCAACACAGTTTACTACTGCTGTTTCTGATTGGGCTCTTTTCTTTCAGGTGAGAAAGTGAAGGCCTACAGCTCAGCGATGCCCCCCTCCAAGTCTCTAAAGATCTCAAACATGGATCATGGGTAATACTCTGCTTAATACAGTATGTTAACTGAACTGATGTGCTGGTGTTTGAGCCCATGGGAACACACTACATCCAGTGTGGGAGAAGTTAATCACTGGTGTTGTCTTTGCTTGTGCTCTAGCTTTAGCCTGTTTGTTTGTTTTCTATTTTATTACTGCCTAACGGGGCGGTGGGGGAGAGATATACCTGGCTGCTCCTGTCAGAGATTTTGTAAGCCCACTGAAAGGGAAATGTGCACAATGTAAAACACAAAACAACTGACTTGGGAGTGCTGCAGGTGGATAAATGCTGTGGATCAGATGACGGACAGCAGCACAAAGAAAGGTGCACGCTGTGGAAAACAGACTTTGGGAGGAGATTGGAAAAAGACTCTCAGCCTTAAATGTAGAAATCAGAATCAGATTAATCAAAAGAGAGGACGAACTGATCACTAGCAACTAACGACATTCAAAGGCATGGCCATCTTTCTACCCACAGCCAGGAGGATACCTTACTAATCTGTCCTACGGAGGATCTGATCTGACTGCCCAGATCCATTAGAACCTCTGTACTCAATCCTGTGGATAAGGAGACAGGGAGGAGCTGTGAAGTGAACCTCACCACAGCTACAATGACACCACTGGAGGTTAAAAATAGAAACAAGGTATTTAGTTTGGTCTGCTCTTTTCCCTTGTCTATTTTATAAGCTAACACTGGAGGGCGCCATCGTGACAGGGAACTGGATGTGTGAAGAAAAATACCAAACTGGGAGGCAGGACAGAGACAGACACACAACGTCTGGAAGAGGACAAAACTGTACATTTTTATGTGTAAGAAACAAACAGACAAAATATTTGTAAATATTAAGTTTCTTGTTTGTTTTTCTTTTTTTGAGTGAATGAATGCTTATTTTGTGACAACATAAGACAACAGGTGCAGTTTGCCAAAAAAAGGCCACTAACTGGTTTCAAATTTGTTGGTGAGTATAAAATCCTTGCCACTGGTCACTTTTCATACCATCAGAAAAATACTTATTCACCTGTTGCCCTTTATCATGTGGGCATCCTGTAGCATCATGGTTTCTAACCAGTAAAGTCACTGTAGCAGAAATTCATCTCCACTGCAGCCACAACACGACAGAAGGCCTAAGATGCTGCAGTTGGCATTTGCTAGTTTCGTTGTTCTTTGTTCTGGGGTTAAACTAGAAGAATCAACTACCATGAGTTTTTTCGAGTCGAGATTTAGCAAACTTTTATTTTAATAAATGTCTCCTGATGAATCTGTATTTATGGAAACATCCCAGAGGGTACGAGTGCTGATAAAAGCCAGCTGTTGCCAGCTAACTAATGTAATGGTGGTCTAGGAAAGTGTTTCATGGTCAGGACTTCTAAACTGAGACACTAAATGAAGTGCAGTAAGTTAAAAGTTAGTTCACCTCACATGTAGCAGTGTTTACATGTAGCCACTTAATCACATGTGTGACAGACATGAGGGCTTTGATACCATAAGATGCCTCATATCCTCCTAGATAAATGAGATCACACATGTGGTCTGACTTTTTTCTTCCTCACACTGTGTTGCATTGTGGGTATGGACGCTGTGTTGACTTAACAGTGATGTGTTGTAGCAGTGAAGAGATTCAACAGTTGAGAGATGGATGAAAGTATGTTTGCAGCCCCTCAGTTCTCACAGTTTATTCTTATTTCAACATGCCTGAAAACTCAGCCAAGCAAAACAAGCTGACTTCATATCACTGAGGTCAGACCCTGTGTCAGGTCAGTGGTGCATGGAAGCACATGATTAACACCAACAATGGCAAACATATACAGAGACAGAGACACTTACACACTGACTCACATAAACCTTCAGCTTGGTCTCCATTGAGAAGTTGCACCTGTTGTCTTATTTTTACATTCTTTGTTGAATTCAGAAACCCAAGACTTGAGATGAAGAAAAATGTTAAATAATGGAATTTAAAAAAAGATTATTATTAAAAAAAGGTATAGTAAAACTATATAAATAAATGAGGTGATGATATTTCTGTTTACTTTAGAAGTTATTATACACTGTATGCTGTGATTCTGATCTGGGAAACATTAAAGACATTCATAGCCAGTCTGCTGATTTTGTCTCTTTATTGAATCAGTTAACACAAGGAAGTAATGTGTACATGTTGACAACACCACATATTTAATGAATGATCCTTTATAAACGGTAAATATTTGGCATCAGATACTAAATAAACAGACATTGTAAATTCTGAATTAAAAAAATTACATTTTATACTCAATTAGATAAGAATAAAAATGTGTCGGTCATGTGTAGCCTACATGTTGACATTCAGACTGAATGATCTTATAATACATTTGTAGTGAACAACGGTGTGGATTTGTGCATTTTACATTGAACAAATTTGGAGCTACCCTAAATTCCTTTCTCCTCCCCAGAGAAGATGGGGAGGGGTCAAAGTTGCTTTCTCTAAGTGCTAGCCCGACCATAAAACTGGCACCCTTTTGATTCCGAAGCTGATAACGCGGGGCCTGACTGTTAAACTGACAAAGGGACACGAACCAGCCATTGGCATCTCCCTGAACAGCCTATCAAAACTGCCCCCCCCCCCCCACGTTTCTGTGGCAACTGACCTTATTCTTTGTTTATTACCACATCAAAAAGGAAAACCCCTGTCTCACCCAAGTGTGACATGTTCCAGACACTGAACTTTCAATGTAAAAAGACTGCAGTCTCCAAAGACTCAAAGCATTTAATTAAGTTTAATTAAATCTTTAGTTGCCTGAATACGTTTGCCTCTATTTGAGTAGTTATGTTAACTGTTGTTGCTATCTGTTGTTGATATTAGTGCTGAAAAGAAGTTACTTGTGCAGTGTTTTTATTTTCAGCAAGACACTCCTTCATCTAATGTAATCAATGCTTGTTCATAATACTTTCCTACAAAATTCCTTTAGAAATGATGACAAAGAAATGTTTTACTATACTCTTAATCGCCAGCTTGAATTTAAGGATGAATCAACAATATTCCCAGTTCCTAAGGAGAGACGATCTTTGATGTAATCCAAGCTTTCCTCATGTAATCTGAGCTCCCCCAAGTGGACGAAATAAGTATTACATGCCCTCATCGGAAATGCCGTTAAATGTATAAATATCCTGACCAATAATGTGACAATTGTTTCCTGTTACCAAATGCTTAGAACAGTACAACCGTTCAACCATTGAGGTTTGATTGTGGAAAAGCCCTCAGAGTCGGCCAGCGAAACAAACAGGCCTTTGGTTTCGCTTGAAGCTACACACGTGAAGTGCCACGACATCAATCTGCCTTCAGTTTCTTTTATTTTCTTTATTTCTTTGTTTTGTTAAAGTTATCAGTCCGTTAAGTTACACTGGACTAATTCAGGAACGATCAAGTTCCATTTTAAGCCTTTTTCGTCAAGCCAACTTCACCAAGCCACGTGGTCTCGCCAGCTACAAGAAGGAAACCTGAAAACAGCCGAATTGCCAGACGGAGGAGGCGTTTTCAATCAGACACGGAGAACCTCGGAGAATCCCTAACAAAAAGCCAGGATCGGGCAGCTAGCGTGGGACCCGTGCAACAGGCCAAAAGCAGGCTGTCGACAAGCAGTAAGACTCAACACATGTTCTGTGATCAGATGTCCATTTCAAGTCCTAAACTATAGCATTAGTTTACTTTCAGTAGCTCTTCTATGCCGTATGAGTCAAATGCTTCCCACAATCGAACCTCCAGGCTCATTGTTCAGCAAATGTTTATGTTCCCTGTATCCAACCATCTTTTTATCACCTTAGTTAGAGAATAAATTCACTGTAATATAATCAAGAGCTGTGTGTGTTGCCTATTTATAGTTCCTGCCAAGAGAATTGACCCTTTAGATATGAGACTGACTGACTGATTTAAGATAATTGAGCGATTATTAACTAACTGATCACTAGTAATAATTGTATAATTATTCAAAACTACCTAGAGGTCCGGAGACTCTAGGATTATAACAACTCCGGTGGTGCCCTTAACGAGGAAATTATGATTTTATGAATCTTCAATTATGAATTCATAATTGGGTATCAATTCTCATAAATTTATTAAAATGCATAATTAAAAATTTTTAGGTCTGCTACACATTTCATACAATATTTTGCATCAGGTACTTCACAGAAACAAAAACAGATTGTGAATTCCAAGCAAACAATCGCCTATCCTATTAAAATAAAATGTAAATACGTGACATCAGATACTTCACAAAAACCATCAATAAAAGATTTCATATCAGATCATATATGATAAAAGAAAAAATCGCTTTACTACTACTACTTTGATTAACTGTACATTTTCGAAGTGGCAATATGATGACTTCATCTGTCACACAAAATTGATGAATTCAAAGTCAGATTTAATCAAATTGGAAACATTTGGTATGTTTCTAACGTGCTCCTAACATGTACAATAAAGAAAGTATTTTAAAATGTAGTAAACACTTACAGGTAAAGCAGATTATTTTTAATAAACATGAAACACATAAACACATAAAACATGTGTCTACTGATACTATCTTTAACCATGTTACAACTTGTGATTTTCTTCTGAATGTATGGAGGAACATGTGCACCTCTGTAACCACAAAGCATGTGTTCTCTCACTTCATGTTAAACGACTCTTTGAGGCTCGCTTCTGCTTGCTTATGTGTGATTGTTTTCCAAGTTTCAGGAATATCAGCAGGCTCTGCATTATATGCTTCAGCAAACTCCTTGTTGAACTTTGCCAGTACATATTTCCAGTAGTCTGACGCCTCTAAACTTACATCTGACTGGATTATCCAGTCTGGGAAAATTTCTCTGTAGTTCCTGTAAGGGTGCCATTCACCTTTTGTAGCATCACAGCAAAAACGCATATCACTGTTCACCAAGGACGAGCATATGTCAATGACAAGTTTTTCTGTCCCATCCCACCTGAATCTACCCAGACCCTCTGGCCGATGTAGTTTAGCAAAGTGCGCTCCATGTTTACTTGCTCCTGCGTCACAAGGAGCTTTGCAGAATGGACACTGTTTCCCACATCCAATCACCTGGGTGAAAAGCTCGTTCTGGGGCTTCACATGAAGATTTTTCAGTTTCATTTGGATGGTTTCTGTTTTAAACTTCTCTGTAAGAGCCTGTGCCATGTCCTTCACACACTCAGTGAGCCAGTGAGCAAACTGTTCCTGGTCGGCATTGTTCAGGATCATGAAAGCACCAAGAGCATCCTGGGAAATGACCAGTTTATCACCAAGTTCTTGACAGACATCTTCAACAAATGTCTTCATGTTACCACTCTTTTCTGTTTTAGCTTTGTTGATAGCATCATTTATGCTGCTGATACTTGACAGAACATGCCGATCCTCAAACTCAAAAACTTTATCACCCTTTGAAAAGTGTTCTTTTATTTGTTTGTGTGTCCATTTCTTTACATGATCCTCATATGAGCAAATGTAGCTCTTATAGTTTTCAAAGTCATCCTTTGAGAGCAAATCCAGTAAAACTGAATACTGGAAGAACATTCGTGTGCTGAATGGAAACTGTGTCAGCATTTCACCAATAATATCAGGACCCAATGAACGGTTGACAAAGTCTTCGACTGCAGGCCTCAAGCAGCGGCTTGTGAATTCTTCTGCCTTCTTCTGGCACTGGTCTCGTTCATGGAACACGTCTTTGAAATCAACACAAAACTTTTCTTTGTTTCGATTCAGACATCTGTAAGGATCATTAGCACGTATGAAATCTTCATGCATTTTCTGAAACTGTCTGGCTGCAACTCCACAGATGTGCTGTTTTAGAGAAACTTCAAACTCAGTGGTCTTAACACTCTGACTGTTCTGCAGCCGCTCATCAATCATGTGTAGGATCTCCTGGATGTAAGTGTCATGGTAATTGTTTTTCCTTTCCATTTTTTCAGTCACAAACTGTGTGCAAGCATCTATGATGCTGTCAGCCATGTTCTGTGAAGCCATCACATGATCTTTAATGTTGAACAACTGGCAGGCTTTGTGTTTTAACTGGTTCCAATTTCCTTCCACTGTATATTTGAAAGGAATCAGTCCACAATCTTTCAGCCTTTTTTGACTTAATAATTCACATGCATGACTCCCCTTACATGATAGATTTTCTCTGAGGTACAAGGAGACATTTGTGAAGACATTTTTGGCCTTTTGTTTAGAAAAAGATAGTTCCTCTACTATTTTATCCCACATCTTATCAAATTCTTGGTCTAGCTCTTTGTCTGTCATCTGGACTTTTCTTCCCCGACATTCCTCAATCAGCTGACGCACTCTCCCCTCTAATTCTTTTGTGTGGTTCTCCTTGATTCTGTCAAGTTCTGTCATTCCCTGTCTGATGTCAGCTGCTGCTGTGAGTTGATTATATACAGAGCTCTCCATTTCTCGACGAAGGCTCTTTGCACTGCTTGCAAATTCCTCTTTGTATCCTTCAAACTAGATACACATGACCCTCTGTTTGCTCAAAGTACTGTTTTAAATTTCCAAGAATTTTTGACTCCCATTTAGTCAGCTCTGTGCAAGCTTCACTTTTCAAAAGAGTGAGAAGTTCTTTCATGTCAGATAACTCAGATTTCACAGCAACTGTGCCGAAATTTGAAATTCTTGTTTCAGCATTTGTAACCCATGAATACATTTCTTTTTTGAATTCCCATTCCCATTTGTTGAACTCTGTGCACAGCCTCATGTATGCATCAGCCACTAGGCTGTTTCTGAAGCTGAAGATGAAGTTTTCATGCTTTACTGCATTCCACAGGCTTTTCATCCACTCGGTAAACTCCATGATATTATTAGCAGATGACTCACACCTTCCCAAAATTTGGATGATGTTCTTCTTGAGCTCATAAACGGCCTCACTGTACCCTGCATTGACTGGTGCCATTGGTGGGTTTCCATTCCAGAGTCCAGGAATGTACCAGTTCCCAGTGTCGGGACTGTACTCCATCACATCAGTGAAGCTCTTGTTCTCCTCTTTCTTTTCCATCTTGGCTGCTGCCTGGGTCATCTCGTTTAGCTGCTGCAAGAGCAGTTTCCTGTCTCGTAAGTTCTTGTCATGGGCTGAAACATCTGACACATTCTGGTGAACAAACATACATTTGGGCTTTTTGCCCACCTCTTTCATCCTGAGAAAAGCATGCACAACTATTTGTAGGATGTCCTTCATTTCTGTTGAATTCTCCATTGCAATATTGATGATGGTGATATCACTCAGCCCCACAACAAGTGTTGCAAGCTCGTTGTCGTGCTCATGGCTATTGTCCAGTTGAGCAAGCTCTGGTGACTTTAAGCCCTCAGTGTCAATGATCACCATGAAGTCACAGTTGAGTTCTTTTTTGACATCTTCATTGATTCTGATCAGCAACATAAACGCACCTCGAGTGCATCGACCACTGCTGACTGCAAACTGCACTCCAAACATGGTGTTGAGGAGAGTGGACTTTCCTGTGCTCTGAACTCCAAGAACTGTGACTACCAGTATCTTGCTCTTAGGAGACACCAAGTCATTGAGCTGAGAGAGAACGTCACTCACCCATCTGAGAGGTATGTTGGATGCATCTCCATCTACAAGCTCAAGGGGAAATCCATCAAGCAACAATTCTGCGCATAGTCTGGGCAGATGCTGTAATTGTTGACGTGATGGGTCTGTTTCTGGAAGGGAAACTGAAGCTTCATAGATCTGACCCATTTCACGGAAGAAGTGTTCAGTCCCCAGTGAGCTGTTGGAAAGTTGTCTGTCAATTTCTTTGATCTCCTCTTTGTTTTCAGAATTTTCACATTTCTTTTTGTACTGCTCCCTGAGGCCAGACAGTTTTTCTCGAGACAGGTTATCGAGGTTCATTCGCATCCATTTCAGGAAATAGCTCCTCTCTATCCCTGGGCTTGATATTGCGTTGATGAAACATGTCATAGCGTTTGACATGTCATAAGAGTTCTGTTTTTCCCGAAGTTTTATTTTCTGTATCTGAAGATCACTTTTGTACTTTTCTATGTTTTCAGACCCAACTTTTCGAAGGCGAAATTCTTCCTTCTCTACGAGAGTCAGTTCCTTCCATATTTGGCCCTGCAAGGGAAGCTGAGCTTCTTTGTATTTAAGGGTGTCTTGAATTTCTGCAGTGATGGCATCTGCATTTTTCTTGGCAGTCTGGCACTCTGCACAGTCCTCATCCACCAAGATACCTAATTCATGGGCAATGTCAGCCATCTGCTCAATCCCCATCTTCATCTTTGTGTTCTCAACTACATTGCTGACTGTTTTCCGCAGATGTTTGATGAAGTCTGCATTATTCATGTGCTTAGCCTTCAAAAGGATGTTGCTGTTAGTCAAACCCAACTTTCTCGCTAACCTAGTAAGAGCATCTAAACTGAAGCTCTGGCTTTGATGGTTGCCCACTAAGAAGATCTGTGCCTTGTGGTGTTGGTTGATAAGCAGCTCGCACTCAGAGTCCAAATTGTCAAAGAACACAAACACTGCTGCAGATGTCTGACACAAAAAAGAAAATTGTGTTTCAAAGGAAGCAATGTCCCCACGAAGGTTAGCTACAGCTACAGGCTCACTGAAAATATCCAAGTTTTTGTTCCCACAAGGAAGGTACCAAGTAACTTCAGCCAATCCATTGGATATTCTCCTTGAACTGTCACCACACTCCATGTTACGGTGAATAAATGTGTCATGGTACTGCTGAGAATTGCTGAGAAGCTTATTGAGGGTCTCAGACTTGGACAATGAGCACTCCCCCAGTCTCACAAATGATATCATTGGAAGTTCAGAGACAACAATCCTGTCTTCAATAAAACCCTTGGATTCTAACAGTTTCTGAGGTCTGTACTTTTTCACAATGTCTCTCATGGCCCAAAGCATGAGTGTGCACTGCTTTGTGTCACAATTAGGAAGCAGCAGAGGCACAGAAAACTGACACATAGACATTTTGAGTGCCATTTCCTGTTGTACAAAACCATCAGAACACAGAAAGAGAGCAGTGATTATGTCAAGGGGGTTTAGCATGTCACCTGAATCTGTACTGTTCACCAGATTATGAAGATTTAACTCCGTATTTCCTGACAGATCTTCACAGTTTGATTCACATTCTGATGTACATTTCACATTTCTAGCAGTCGCATTTACCATCATCAATTTCTTTAGAAAATACCATTGAAGATCTGAATTACACTTGGCAGGTTCATCAGAAATGGTCTTCTGGTCAATCTGAAGAATTGTGCACAGGGTGTAGTGGTGCTCCAACCCCAGATCCTCCATTAAGCTCTCTAGGTCTGTCTCTGCAAACATGAAAACAGTGATTATTAACCCATAACTGGTTATTTAAATTTTCTAAAGCATGGATCAAAATTACTTACATTCAAGATACTGGATTCTGTTTATTAGGGCACACCTGGAGATAAGTAATGCAGTCTAATATAACAGCCCTAAACACAGAGATATTATCATGTTTTTTAAATAGTGTTGTTGATTCAACTTTATGGTTCTTGGATGCTGCTATGCTGGACGAATTGTCCACAGTTGTCCTCAATTGTCCTCATTTATATAAATCAGGGTGGATTAGGGGGTGGTGCATAGATAAGATGCTTGATGTGGGAGACCAGAGTTTGATTCCCACTGTGAGACATCCACCATTGTGTCCCTGAGCACACTTAACCCATAGTTGCTCCATAGATGTGTGACCTCTGACATGTACAGCAATTGTAAGTCGTTCTGGATAAAAGCGTCAGGTAAATGGATTAAATATTAGAAAAACCCTCTCAGTATAAGTTAAACAGCACCCTAAACACAAGCCTCCAAAATGTTGATCAAGCCATAAACATTTTCAACAAATACTAAATCTTCATTAAGAATTACTTGTGGATTTTTTGTATTATTAGACTGCATTTGCTTTAGCTAGTTAGACCTACTAAACTGGTAACTAAGTCTAGAATTCATGCATTTGTAATGAAGACAAAATGCCTAAAAAAAGCACTACTATAATGGACCAGGCCTTCTGAAAACAGCAGACAGATAAATCTGTGGTCATCTCTCAAATTTTGTTGGCCCTCTAGTGGCCAATGCCCATGTTGATGTGGGTTAGACAGTCAGTAATCTGTCTGTCCAAGGTACAGATCAAGATACTTCAACAAAACCACAGAATCAGACCTTATATTTTGACAACACCAAAAGTATTCTCTAGTGTTGCAAAATTAAAATTTGTGCACAATAAATATCAGAATCTAATGGACAGACTGGAATTGGTAGTAAAACGACTGGAAAGAGGTGAGAAAATTACTTAATAATAACATCACTGAGGATTAAAGGAGTAAAGCCAGGAACCCTTTTGAAACAGAATGTCCTGTTCACACGTACACGGGTATTTTTGTAAACATAGGTTTATTTTATTATTTAGATGATACTAACTCGATTAAATTTGTCTAGGAGTTTGACGACTAAAGATAATGGATTAACAACTATTAGACATCACTGATCACAGAATGCCTTGTTTTGCCTTACGGTGGGTCAGCTGTCTGCCTTGGCCTGTTGCCGGTCCCGGTTGCTAGCTGCCCCTTTCCCGGCTTTTTGCTAGGGAATTCTCCGGGGTTCTCCGTGTCTGGAATGAAGAAAAACCCTCAAGGGTTGGCCGTCCTCGGTCTGGCAATTAGGCTGTCCTTTCAGGTGTCCTTTGTTACTGCTGGTTTGCCACGTGGCAGCGTCCGACCTCTGTGGGCTTAGCTCAACGCATAAAGCTTAAAAAGAACTTGGTCGTTCTTGAATTAACAAGTGTAACTTAACGGACTGATAACTTTTAACAAAACAAAAGAAAGAAAATAAAAACAAGTAAGTTGCTTGAAAACGAGGGAAAAATCAATGTCGCTGCGCTTAGCATGTGTGGCTGGGAAACGAACAAAGGCCTTAGCTGAGCCTGGAGATGCGGCGTGCTGGGCACGTGCCGACGCGCAGTTTGAAGAGGCCAGGAGCCAGCAGAGGACAAGAGAGAAGGCTCAAGAGCGTGAACGACAGCGTGTGTTGCGCTTTTGTTGGTTGGGGCATGGTTCCCAGAGGGTAGCCTTTTGTTTCCCTGAGGGCTTGTTTCCGGCGGAGAAGACTGTCTTCTTAAGTTTTAATATGTCTATAAAAAAAAGAAAATCTATTTGCACGTATTGTAATCAAATATCTTCCCACAATCAAACCTTAATTGTCACACGGCTGTACTGTTCTTAGTTTTAACCACTTGGTAAAAAGGAACACAATGTTAGTTAAACTATGAGGAAGCATTTCGGAATGAATCACAGAGGAGAAGAATTTAACTAGCTTTCTGGATATACTGGCGGTTACACGTTCTTAGAGAATATAGGCAAGCTACACGAATCGCATCAGATTATGGACAAGTAAATACAGCGTGACATTTGTACATTAATGGCATTTCAGATGATGGCATGTAATACTTATTTTGTCCACTTGGGGGAAGCTCGGGTTACATGAGGATAGCTCTGATCAATCCTAACACAATCTTCTCAGGAGCTGGGGAATTTAGTCATTTTTAACCTTAAATTTGAGCTAGAAATTAATCGAGTATAGGATGACATTTCTTTATCAACATTTCTAAAGGAGTTGTCAGAAAGTGTTGGTTATACATAAAATGAAGGAATGTCATTAACCTTGCTGAAAATTAAAACACTACAAAATTAACTCATTTAGATTCTTTAAACAAACAACAAGGTAACGTAACTACTCAAATGGAGGCAAACGCCGCTACTAACTTAGCAAGGATTATTGGTTAAACAGAACAACAGTTTAAAACTTGCATTAATTCATTTTGTTGACTATTTGACACTTTTGTCGTGTAGATTAAACTTACGTATGTAAGTTATCAGTTGAAAAAAAAGGCGACAGTATGAGGATTGCCTAGATGCTGCGTCTTTTGAGTTTGAGAAAAACATATACATAATCAACTAATTATTAGGGTTAAGCAAGTACTCGGTTAAAACGAGTATCCGGTACAGATACTTTCTATGAGTATCATCAGAGTAAAATGTGTCAATATCTGTTTTGTTATAAACTATAAATGTCGCGGTGGCAGCCCGGCTGTCGGTGAGTGTCCTGTTTCTCCTTTCCCTCACATTCTGGTTTCTCCTGTGCCTCCTCTCTCTCTGTGTGTGTGCTCTCTCCCTCCCTGCTCCGGAGCCCGGCTGGCTACCCACACCTGCACCTCGTTTACCTCCATCCCCGGCCGCCGCACCTGCCAGCCATCAGCCTCATCACTGCCAGTATATCTACCCCGGCTTTCCACTCCACCCTCGCTCGATCGTCGCAGCTCTTGACCTGGTGTCGCCGCTTCGTTCTGGCTTTATTTCTTATACTCCTTTTGCCTCTTGTCCTCTTGCCTACTAACCCTGTCTCTCTGTTTTTCCCCGCCAGGTTCACTCACCTCTGCCTCCCAGCTCGGCCAGCCGGGCTCGCTCGCCTGCCTCCTCCTCTCGCCGCCTCCACGACACCCCCCCGGCTTCTCCACTCGCACCCCGCCTGGACCCCCGTCTCCGTGTCCTCACCTACCCGTCTGCCAGCCTCCCCCCTAGCCTCCAGCCTTGTGCCCTCCGTTCCTCCAGCTTCTCGGTTCCCCGAGTCCTCGTCTGCCTCTCCCCCTCCTTCCACCTGCCCTCGCCTCGAGCCTGTTTTTTCCTCAATAAACCTCTTTTTCACCCTCAGCGTTGCGTTTGGGTCCGTTCTGTCTCCCACCGTTACATATAAATATATGAATATAAAAAAATCAATTACTATTCTCTGAAGCTCAATTCTGAGGCTGTTCTGTAAATGGTTTTCCAATAAATCTATAAAGTTCTAATAGAAATTTCAGGCTTAAATAACTTCCAGTTAATACCGCCCACTTATAGATTAAGCACCGGCCATTCTGAGTACAGATGCAGAAGATTTGGTGTTCTTGCTCACCCCTGCTAATTATACACTGCAGATAAGTCATATATTCATATTCCAACCAAATTATAGACACTTCTGTGGTAAACAAGACTAGTACCACCGGTGGAAAGGGTTCCAGACAACGGCCTTAATGCCCTTTCAGAAAGGAGGTGACATCTGCTGCTATTTTGAACTTTGACTGCGGCGTGCACAGGCGCCCCAGCAAGCTACCCTGCCCCGTCACAAGTCACTGAAGATAATAGCACAGTGGTGCTGTTGTTGTGGTCTGTCTTCAAGGCCCTTTATAGATGTAAATTTAGAATTTAAATCCCTTAACTTGAAATGGAAAGTAGTATTAATTTGGTTAAGTTGCTTAAACCTGAAACTATGAGTCATTTAACTAACATTGGGACAACTAGAACACTGTAGTTATATCCACTTTATGAACTTAAATTTATGAGTTGAAGGGTGTAGAATTGTATGTTTGTTAGAAAAGTGAACGCAAGTTTCCTTGAATGGACAATGTAATATAGATAGTTGTTTAAACTCACAGTATTAAGTTCAAACAACAAATTATCATTAATTAAACAAATTGTATAACGTAGCATCATGAGTTGAAACAAAGCTTTTCTTAAAGTTGAGTTTACTCACATTTTTAGGCAGCAATTGAACTTAAGTTTTTAAGTTGAACCACCTAGATAATTTTTACAGTGTGGTGTTCTTTCCAAATTTATATCGGGCTGTGAAAAGGGGTATCTCCTTTGAGGTGAGATAATTAAACAAAGAGCAAGGTATGTTGCCATGGTTACATGTGTGTGGGGGGGCAGTTTGGGGTTTCCTGCCCTCTCTTAAGAAGAGTTCCGATAGGCTGTTTGTAATCTCTGCTTAGTTTCTTTGTCATTTTAACAGTTCAGGCACCGAGAGGCTTATCTCAGCTGTTGCCAAAGTTGGCCAGTTTTACGATCAACTTTCCCCGAATAGCACTTATGGCAAGCAACCTTTCAACTCTTCCTTGGAGTCGCTTTGGCTCTCTGTAGAGGGTTGATAATAAAAACCCCTCCTCCTTCTCTCTGGGAGAGAAAAGGAATTTAGAGTAGTCCAAATTTATTTGATATAAAATGCACAAATCCACACTGTTGGTACACAACACTACCACACCACTAAAGTCTGGGAATATTAAATATCTGGGTGTCAATATTTCCTCCAGGCTGTCAGAACTGACATGGCTAAGCTACACGCCTTTACCTAAATCAATAGAGGATGACCTTGTACAATGGACATCATTGCCCATATCACTCATGGGAAGATGATCCTACCCAAAATCAATTACCTGTTTTCAGTGTTACCCACCCAACCCTCTGCTGTCTGGTTTAAATCACTG